TTTTTTTTTTTTTTTTTGCTAAGTTTAGGTCTTGATCTCGATTATGAATCAGTGTCAGCAGTTGACAGTGATGGATGACTGGTAAAAAAGGACAAGCTAGATAATGGGTACTTATTCATATTCAAACGTATTTTTATTGAATACCGCCATCGTCGACGTAGTTGTATTTTCGCTAGTCACTGCCAACAGTGTTGTTTGCATTTTGGCTTGGGAGATCACTGTTGCAAAGTCAAACTCATTTTTGCTTTAATACCATCATTAACAACCCGCTACTGCCTTTTGCTTTCTTTTGCGCTTACTGTTGCTTGAACGGCATTGTTATTTCATTAATATTTATTTAGTTGTTGAAAACTCAAATCGACAAATCTGCAGGTTATTTTACGAGAAGGAGGTTTTTGGAGTTTAACAGTAGGAAAATCAAGTTATATTGTTTAAATAACTGGAAAAATAGAATGAGGTAGCAGTAGAATATGCTTTGAGTGATAGTTGAAGGAGTAATCAATTTGAGCTTTGTTATTCCAGTTAGCATCTGTTCTTTTAGTAGTGTTAAATAATAAACTTTTATGGAGGAGGTTTAGATTTTTCTTTAGAGATTTTATTTCTGATGTTTTATGCTGTTGTAATACTTCGTAGATTTGTAAAGTTTCGGTTGTTGCGTTTCAACCGTTTCTTGATTTTGCTTGTTTTTTTTTTTTTTTGTTTGACTAATTTTTTTGGGGGCCAACGGGAATGAGATAAATGGGTAAAGCTACAAATTGCTGCACTGTTTTTACTTTGTCATTCATTTCAAAGATAACTAACTTTTTTATATGCTGTTTTTAAAAACCAGGAACAATTGTATGTCGATTTAAGACCAAGAAAAGTGATATTTTCATAAATAGTTTTAGAAAGAAAAATTTAATTTTATTTAAAGCAGTCGGGGTACTAGAGTGAGGTTTTAGAATTAGGAGATGCAACAAACTAACACCGATCATTAAGCAGCGTGTTTGATGTGTTCCCGTTGTGTATAGACAGTTGAAACTGGACTCATTCGCCGAGTGTTTAATTTTTTGCGAGTTGTCCTTGCCGGCAACGAGTATTTGGTTATTCAGTTATTAATTACGTTTGCACTAACACAACCATAAATCGTTTCTTTTTTTACTTCTGCTTTTTTTAGGCCTTTAGTCGTACAATTTTGCAGTTTTTATTTTTATTTCAAATTCATTTCTTTCAATTTTTCATAGTTTTTGCAATATCTAAATGGTTACTAATGTGCTTGCACTTGTTAATAATTCTTCAAGTTTTCGGAACCTGAAATTCTTGTTGCTTAAACATGTGTAGTACGTGTGTGATAATCAGTATCTTTATTTGTAAGTTGCAGAAGAGATAGATTTAAAAAGGAGATGGGAAATTGTCAGAAAAGGTGTATTATTATAGGAAAATTTCATTCCACGTTGTTGTTTTTATTGCTGCTGTTGTTATTGTCATTGTTATCTCGTCTGCCAATCTGGACATATTTGTTTTTCTTTTTGCAGTGTTTATACAAATATGGTTGGTATTTTTGGTTACATTGCGATGTATCTTCGATTAGTATTCAATAAGTTACTTATAGAGTCATTAAAGGATTTATAGGTGGTTTTTTTTTCGGGTTCAAGAAAAGTAGTGATCAATACAGCGAAAACGTAAGTGTCTACAGTATTCGACTTACACATTATATGTTTTACATTTACTTTAGAAGAGAAAGGGTTCAATATGAATAAATGGCGATAAGAAAGGGAGGCAAAAAAGATAACATTTTTTTAACGCAGTTCCTTTTCTTGGAAATTTTTTGAAGTGTTTTTGTTTGTGTATCTGCTACATTTTTTTAATTTTTACAATTTATTAATAATTAGTTTTTTTCTAGTCTTTCATTCACTTAGATGATTGTTACTCAGTTTTTAATAGAGAAATTCAATTTTTTTTTATTTTTAGGTGTAGAAGAATTAAGAAGTTGAATTGAATTTTTTTGTTCATCAAGAGTTTTAAAAATTGTCTTGTTTTGATATGGGGGAAAAGGACATACAGGTGCTGTTTTTGGGATTACGATTGAGGGAGCATTGAGCTTTAAGATTATTTCCTGTCTGTAGCAATTAAAATTTATAACAACCTGCTGGTTTTGATGATGAGTGTGTAGTGACTATGGTGATGGTTGTATTTTTTCATAGAAAAGATGAGGTTTTGGTTGGAAAAATTGGAAATTTTTGTTAGTTTCACCTTGACGATATCTATGCAGAATCGACATGAAGATTAATTTCTTTTTTATGAACTCGTTTGTCTCCGATTAATCTTGTCGCTGATTTAGTTGCGGTATAATGTATAAAATTACTTTTTTCTGTGGAGGTTTCAGATACATCGTAGCCCGCCGGGTGGTATCCGAAGTTTTGCGTCTTCTTTTCTTTGTCATTCTTTGTTTTATCTCTTTCATCTTCACTAGTGTTTTTTACTCCTTTTTATATTTGGCTTATTGTTTTGTTCTTTTTATTTTTTAATTAGAATGATAGGTTTTTTTGCTTTTCACTCTTGTATGTTTTTTTACTTTCGAAAAATGAAAAAGCTTTTGGTGCTGCTTTGTTTTTTTGAAGTAATGGGACTAGTGACGAAGGGACGAAGGTGCAAAGTATCGGTTGTTTGGTAGTTGTATTTTGTTCGAAGTAACCGACAAACAGCAGTATGTAAGGTTTTTGGTTAGGCTAACTGACGCATTACAGGTTCCATCTATAAAACCGGTTATTTCTCTGTATCTAGTTTTGCGCAAGGAAAAATGGAGGATTTACTTTTTCTAGTTATGCCATTTTTACATCATACTCAAATGTATTGCTGTTAAAGTAACGATGTCTGCATATTACTTTTCTATGCTGTTAATTTCTAACTCTGGTTTTTGAAGATGTTGTATGTATGTTCTTTTAAACTTTTTTGTGTTTTAGTCTGGCGCTTTAGGTCAAAAAGCCTACTCTAAATGCCAGATTTTTTCGTTTTTTTGTTTCGTGTTTTTCGATCAAAAAATTTGCAGAGAAAAAAAGGGTTTTGTCAATATGTATAAATTTGTTCCTTATTAATCTGGTGTTTAGTTAAGAAATAGTTCTACTGCGCTCTGCCATTGCTGTATATACTGTTGTGGCAGTCAAAAAAGATGTGATTATTAAGTAATTTAAGTTGTAAAAAATTATTCTTCTCGGCTTTTCTCAAAGCTGTGCAAAATTGATTTGATGTTATTCAGAAGAAAAGGATATCTCAGACACCCAAATTTACATACCATATATGAGCAGACCACAGGTATTGAAGATAGTAGCATTAGTCGATTGTGATGGGCTGTAGTCGAAAAATTAGTGTTACGTGATAGCAAAAAAAACTTTGAAATGTGAACTTGTATAATCATGGATGATTTGCAAAAAATTGAGGTAACAGTATATCAAAAGTATTGATTGTTTGCATAGTTTTTTGTTGTCAAATGTGCCAGTTTTTACTGGTGATGGGGAAAATGAAAATAATTATGTAGTTTTTGTTGAATTATATGGCTTGGTCGTTTCGCTATTTTTCACTCTGATAAGGAACGTTCCTGAGAGACTTTTCAGTACATAAAATTGTACGATTGATTGGAGGCTGATTACTGATGTTGCAGCTTTCACACTATCAATTGTGACTGATAATTGTGATTAATTGGTTTTGTCAGGTTCATATTCTTGTTGACTTTGTTAGTCGCGATTACTGAGTGGTCGTTAGATAACTATGATGACATAAGTAGAGTTTAATGGGAAGGAAGGGTGCGGATAATGATTGCTGGCGTCATTTAAATAAATTGATCATGGGAAGTAATAAAAGAAAGTTAGGAAACTGGTGCTTTTTGGACTTCTGAATTACTATTATTAGCGAAAAAACTGAAAAAGATGGGGGGGGGGAGGGAAAGTGAAGAGCTTAAAATTTTGGATTGATACATATTTTTGGAAATGATGCACCTGTACCAGTAGATGATCAGTTGGCATTTATTTGAATAAGGTCTGTCGTGTTTATTTGTACTGTCGCCGCAAAAAACTTCAGATATTGTTTTTACAGATGCGCATTTCCCATTTGCCGTGCGCTACACACTGTTTGATTTGCAAACGTTTTTGATTTAGTTTTGATTTTTTTGGTTTTAGAATGAATATATGAAAGAAAAAAAGGGGTGTTCTGTGGATTTTTGCTGGATGTTTTTTTATTGACTTTAAAACTGCTGTTGACCCGAATTGTCGCAGGTGACTATGAAACAATTTTGTGCAATTTGAATCGTTATTATTATCTTGCTGATACTGGACATTTTGTAATTTATTTTCTTTCTTTTTTTTTTGTTATTTTATTTTGTTTCATTTTTTTTATTTTTTATTTTTTATTTTTTTTGCATATCGTTTTTGTACAATACTCGTGCTTGGCTTCGAGAAAGCAAAGCGGGGCAGAAAAAAGAGGAAAACTGGAGGATGGGAGAAGGAGAAGGAGGGTTTCTTATGTTTATTAAAGTGGTGAGATGTATCTGGGGCTGCAAAAGAAAAGGAATTAAGATCATCAATATGTTGCCGTTCAAATGAGAGCCGCTAGAGGTTCATTTGTCATTTTATTTTTTGTTTTTTGACTTTTGCAGCTTCTAGTTTTTTTAATTCTGTTGCTTTATTAATGTTCTGTCATACTTGCTACTATTTATTGCGAGTTGCGTTTTAATTAAATTTTTGATCACAAGAAGGGAGCTTTTTTCATTTTTGATAATAATCAGAAAGTTTTTTGTTTTGCTTTTTGAAGGCACTGAGTTAGGCTAAGCAAAAATGAAAGAAGTGGTTTAAGGGCAAAAAGGGAACAAATTCTAGGCTGTTAGGGTTTTGTGATATGTCAGAGGCCTATTCCTTTTTTTTTGACTATGTTCGTTCACACGCTGATGCTATCTTTAGTAGTACTAAAATTTGATATTGCCGGTTTTGTTCAATAGTAATTTAAAAAAGTCATTTTAAAAAAATAACTTTTTGAGGAAGATTGATTTCTTATAACTTTT